GGAGAAGGTCTCTTGCACCTTTAGATGGCCTCTAAATGAATCAGAATGGAGCTGGAAGGGACCTTGGGGGTATTCCAGTCCAGTCCCCCCCCCCTGCTCAAGCAGGAGACCCTCTACCATTTCAGACAATCCTTCTCTTTCTTTCACTCTCCAGTCCCAGATCCCCCCCGCCATCTTCAACTGCACCTGAAGAAAGAAGCTGAAGGCATCGTGGTTTGCCAGTGGGCTCCTCCAGCCAACGCCCACGGTCTAATCAGAGAATACGTTGTAAGTATCTCAGTGTACATGGAGATAAGCAGAGTGTTCTTCCCGAGAGCATGAAGCAGACTCTTGACAAAAAAAACCCTTTTATTAATTTACTGTGAATTCTGCTCATTCACAGCCAGTAAAGTCTTAGGATTTACAGTCACAGACCTTCTCTGGCTTGGAGAGCTGCCAGGCCGAGATCTGCAGAACTTGGCAAGGAGTCTTGGAGAGTCACGAACAAATTAAGCGAACTAATCGTCTCCTGCAAACTCCACTCCCCTTTCGCTCCTCTTTTATTTCCTCTGGGTGGGGCCATTCACCGTCCACCTGTGGCCTTACTCCCAAGTCGACCCTGGTTCTTTAGCTCTTCCCTGCGTCTGGCAATTCTGCGCTGGGAACAGGCTCCAGCTGTTCTTCTGCCTCACTGATGTCCGACTCCAAAGGCAGCTGATAACTGTCAGAAGGCCCTGGCCCCCTCTCTGCCTCCGTCACAGAGCCCTCATCAGAGCCTCCCCCAGAATCAGGACTGGCCCATGTTCCTCCCCAACCTCCTCATTGTCCGAATCTGCTGCCAGCTCCGCAGGTGGCTGTCAGGCCACTGAATCCAATGATGGAGAATTGATTTTAGCAGGCATTGGACTGTTAAATAAGGGGTGCCATTTTCCCTCCGGTGATCTTATTCAATGTTGGTTTCGCTCCACAAATATCTGAGGTCCAACTGGCAGATTCAAATCTTTCCCTGGAGGCCACGGCAGGATCTTAGAAGATGTAGGCTGCTGAAAGGTGACTTTAGCAAGGAGATGGTTGTTCCTATTTTTCTGTCCTGGTAGGTGGAATACAGCAGATCCGGTTCAAAGGAATGGTCTTCTGTGAGGGCGCCCACTAACTACTCGGAAGTGGAGATGTTGCAGGTCAACGCCTTATATGTTTTCAGAGTGAGTAGATGCCTTCTGTTATTATCTACGAGCATCGGCTGTTCTTGGCCCGTAGAACTAGGAGATTTCTATTTTTATGTTGTCCCGAAAAGAATAGACGTTTAAAGCAGCGGTCATCAACTGGTGGTCTCTGGACCCCTGGTGGTCCGTGAGAAAATTTTGTTGGTCCGCAGAAAAACTATTTGCATTTTTTTTATATTGCACTAAATCGGGGGTGCTCAAACTACGGCCCCTGGGCCAGATACGTGCAATGAACGCTTGTGTTGCTGCAGAGAGTCTCCCCCTTTGGGGTCTTTTTGTGGGGAGTCAGGGGGAAGAAATTCCAACTTGGGGTCTCCTTCGGATTCCTGGTGCAGGGCTTTGGGCGAACGCTGGAGGGAAGTGCCACTGGTGGGGAAGAGATGGAGAGCTCTGGGATAGAAGCTGTTTTTCAGCCTATTTGTCCTTCTTTTTATTGTCCTGTACCGTCTGCCAGATGGTAATAGTTCAAAAAAAAAAAGGATGGATCTTTGAGAATGTTTTGAACTTTCTTAAAGCAGCGGGAGCGCTAAAGCTCTTCCAAAGAGGGGAGGGGGCAGCCAATCATCCTCTGGGCAATGACGTTGACCCTCTGGAGCGCTGCCCGATCTGCCACTGGGCAATTGGCAAACCAGACACAGGTGCATTAAGTTAAAATACCCTCTGTGGTGCAGCGGTAGAAAGTCACCAGCAGTTTTCCATTCAGTTGTTGTTTCCTGAGAAGTCTCAGGCAGTATCATCTCTGCTGGGCCCTATTGACCACGCCGTGCTAGGAGGAGACTCTATGGTGGGGGAATTGAACTTCCGGTCAGCTCCAGAATTGAACAGAGGGTTTCCGGTCTTTGTGGTGCCTGGTCTTTTCTTTTCTGTGGAAAACGGGTCCAAATGGCTCTTTGAGTGTTTGAGCTTGCCAACCCCTGGCCTATTTCAACAAGCCTATTTTCTGTTCTGAAAAGGTTGCCGCAGTAACAAGCCGTGGAGTGGGGAACTGGAGCGACTCCAAATCCATACGAACAGTCAAAGGCAAAGGTAAAAACTTTTAGGGGTTAAATTCTTGAGTTCTTTTCTCGCGAGGCACGGAAGTTGGTGAAGGCAGCTAGATGGCGCCAGCTATTCCACCCTCTCCTGATCTCAAAAAGTTCAGGAGATCCGCCTGTCCTCCTTTGACTTGGAGGAGAGAGATCCCAGGACTCTGACAGAGGAGAAGGAGCTCCTTGTAGTAGGAAGCACTTCCCGGTTTTTGCCCCAAAGCCCGTCACGTCCATGAAATTATCAATCTCTGAGCTGAAACTTAAGGAATGCTTTACTTCATTGCAGGATATCACTGCTCTAGGGTGGGAATGTTTGCTGCCAACCTAAATACATATGCATACTGTATACATATACATACATACAGGGCGGGGCATAACCTTTTCCTAGGGGGNGCCACACCCACAGAGTAGGTTCGAAAATTTTTTGAAACCCACCACTGTGGTATAGGATAAGTAATTAGCACTTTAAATGAGAGGGGACATTGTTTTGAGCATCAAGAAAAAAAGGATGTTCCAATCTCTAAGGGGCTGCCACAATTAAGAGGGGGTCAGCCTCTTCTCCCAATCCCTTGAAGGCAGGACAAGAAGCAATGGATGGAAACTAATCAAGGAGAGAAGCAACCTAGAACTAAGGAGAAACTTCCTGACAGTTAGAACAATTAATCAGCGGAATGACTTGCCTCCAGAAATTGTGAGTGCTCCAACACTGCAGGTTTTAACAAAGAAATTGGGCAACCATTTGTCTGAAATGTTTAGGGTTTTCTGCCTGAGCAAGACGGGGGGTTGGACTAGATGACCTCCAAGATCCCTTGCAGCTCTACTATTCTGCTATGCAAAGCCGGGGAGAACATATAAGGGAATGAGGAGAAAAGCTCTCTGCCTAAAGTGAAGGCTGCCGCATGGATACTAATGAATTCTGCTGCATTCCATTTTCTTAAGAAATCAGATTTTTTTTAAAAGAAATGTCTGTGTTCAGAGATGATTATTGCAACAAGAAATGAACAAACAAATGCCTGGCCTTCATTTACATTCATATTAGTCTTGGAATTGCCTTAAAAACAGCATAATTAAATGCGCTGTCGTCTCAAGTCACCTATTCATTTTATGGCTGTTCACTAATTTGCTGTTATGTCATCCCGGTTCATTGCATATACTTAACTGTTACACTACGGTGTCGCATATTGTTCTGGATTTCAGTCTTCCCCAAAGTAGGATAGCCCTCATTTCTTGGACTTCCTCAGCCCAGAACTCTGGAAGTTGAGGGTTCTACGGGGTTCCAAAGATGATACCACTCCAATGGCAGAAATTAAAGAGCCTCTTGATGGGGGGTGAAAGAGGAGGGTGCAAAAGTTGGCTTGAAACTCAACATTATGAAAAACTAAGATCATGGCTCTGGCCCTCTCAATTCCTGGCAAAAGGATGGGGAAGAAATGGAGGTAGTGACAGATTTTACTGGGCTCCAAGATCATCGCAGATGGGGACTGCAGCCAAGAAATTAAAAGTCACTTGCTCCTGGGGAGGAAAGCTACGGCAAATCTAGACAGTTAGTTAGTTAGTTTGATAGTTTATTAACATTTATAGGCCGCCCTTTTCCCTGAGGGGACTCAGGGCGGCTCAC